CAGCCAGTGTACCAGCTGTTAGGATCTCTGGGAGTTGTAGGCCAAAAACACCTGGGGACCCCAGGTTGAGAACCACTGCAATAGACTGTTAAGAAAGCCTTAAAGTTCCTGTTTGTTTTCATTAATAAAGAACTTTGTTGAACTTTTAAGCAATCTAAAGACTCTGTTTTAAGGAAATCCAAAAGCTTTTAATCTGAGGCAGCCCTGTTGGGCACACAGAATTTATGTCCTGCCTACAGTCTTATGCATAGGCCCAGCGTGCGACAGCTGGTTTTTCTCCCGTGTGGATTCTTTTGTGCAAATTAAATTTCCATTTTGTAGCGCATTCCTTTCCACACTCCACACTTGTTAGGATTTTCTGTATTTTTAGGGGAAGTCACTCAAAAATATAGCAGAGCATCCAAAATACAAACAGAATGCTTAGTGCTGAGCGTTCAGTTCACAGCAAGCAGAGTATGAAGTGTTGAGGGTGGAAAAGAATTTAGAGCTTATGAGGCAACGATCCAGAGTTCAATTTTTCAAAATACGAAAAGTTTGTGCAATGTAATGCAATGCGGAGGGGAGGGGGATATTACGGTATGTGTATATATGTATAATGTCAGGCAGACATGAGGTGTTGGGGCTACATGGGGGAAGTGTGGAATCGAACCTCATAAACTCAGTGACTTGTAGTTCATGCTTGAAACACACTTTCTCTGTCTTTGTGTATATTTCTTCTATGTGTAATCCAAACCTGGATCCAATATGTAACTTCTTAACTTCTCACAGGTTTACTTCAGTGTATTCATAGACTGACTTCCAGCCATATAGCTTTAATCCAGTAACTTGACACAAGTCTTTAATATATATATGTTGAAATAAATAAATGTTTATTTATGAATTCTTCTGCACATAAGCTTATCTGTTACAAAGTACATTACTTCAGTTCCACCTGGATATGACTGTAACTGTTTTTCACTCCTTTAAATACATAACATTGTTATTTTATAACTTTCAAACAGTTAACTTTGTTGTACGTAAGCGGAATTTAGTTTGGTCCAATGCAAAAGGCACAATAACTTTGCACAAAAGCAGGAGGAAGAAAAAACAGAAAACTTTACTCTTGTCAGCAGAGTTAAAACATAAACTTGCAGTGCTGTATACAAAATAAACAGTGCCACAAACTTACATCGTCCTTGTAAGAAATACACAACGCAAAAAACAAGGCGTCTTAATCTTCCTTCAAATGAGCAGCGTAAATTGTTGAGCAAAATGCTGTGAGAATAAGCTCCTCAGAGCAAAAGCGTTGTGAGCATAGAGCTGAACTGTATTCTAAACCACATACAGTTACACCCCATCGGGTGTGGCTCAAATTTACTTGCTGACCTAGATTAGCAGCTGAACATGATAATTAACAGTATAACGTTTTCTGTAACACACACAAACACATATACTTGGTGCTGATCCTTTTACAACTTACCGAAACAAACTTGTTTCTGCTCTGTTGAGCCACTTCCTTCTCCTTCAAAATATATTTCTCCTCAGTTACCTGGCTTGTTGTCTTTTAACCTTAAAGACGCACTCTTCTGTCAATACTTGTGTGATGTAAAGGAATCTCTGCGCTATTCCTACAGGTCTTGCCACTTCCTAAGCATTTGAATGGCTTTTGACCCGTGTGGGTTCTCTGATGGCAACAGAAGGCACTGCAATCGCTGATGTGCTTTCCACACTCCCGGCATTTATACAGTTTCTCACCAGTGTGGATCTTCCTGTGGCAAGAAAGCTGGGCGCTCTGCTGGAAGCTCTTGTGGCACTCCAAGCATTTGTAGGGTTTCTCTTTCATGTGGGTCCTTTCATGCAAACTGAGATTCCTCCTCGAACAGGAGTTCTTTCCACATTTCACACATTTATATGGTTTTTCTCCCGTGTGGGTTGTTTTGTGGCATTAAGTTCCCATTTTGTACTGCAGCCCTTTCCACACACCACACATTTGTGCGTTTTCTCTCTTGTGTGGGTTATTTTATGTTGAGTAAGGTTTCCTTTCACACTGAAGCTCTTTCCACACTCCAAGCATTCATATGGTTTCTCTTTCGTGTGGGTCCTTCCATGCACACTGAGATTCATCTTGGTGCTGAAGCTCTTTTCACACTTCGCACATTTATATGGTCTCTCTCCTGTGTGGATTCTTGTATGCCTAGTAAGGTGTCCTCTCACAACGAAACTCTTTCCACACTCCAAGCATTTATATGGTTTCTCTCCTGTGTGGATTCTTCTGTGCACTTTCAGGTGTGAACTATCAGCGAAGCTCTTTCCACACTCCAGGCATTTATAGGGTTTCTCTTTCGTGTGGATCCTTTTATGCGTATTGAGATTCGTCGTCGCACTGAAGCTCTTTCCACATTCCAGACATTTATATGGTTTCTCTCCTGTGTGGATTCTTCCATGCTTTTTGAGGGATGCACTCGCAGTGAAGCTCTTTCCACATTCCACACATGTATACGGTTTTTCTCCCGTGTGGATTCTTTTGTGCAAATTAAATTTCCATTTTGTAGCGCATTCCTTTCCACACTCCACACATTTATAAGGCAGGCTTTCTCCCGTGTGGGTTCTTTTGTGCACTTTAAGTTTCCATTTCGTAGCACAGTCCTCTCCGCACTCCACACATTTATATGGTTTCTCTCCTGTGTGGGTTCTTGTATGTACAGTAAAGTGTCCTCTCTCCCTGAAGCTCTTTCCACACTCCTGGCATTTATATGGTTTATCTCCTGTGTGGATTCTTCTGTGCACTTTGAGGTATGCTTTCTCAGTGAAGGACTTCCCACACTCCAGGCATTTATGATGCGGTTTTTCTCCCGTGTGGGTTTTTTTGTGCTCACTAAGATACCATTTGGAACAGTAGCTCTTTCCACATTCCACACATTTATACGGTTTCTCTCCTGCATTGATTTTTTTATATGTTTTCTCCTCGTTCTCACTCTCCCTCCCATCTTTGCCTGGAAAAGACAGACAGAGAAATATTTCAATAGTGAAAGGTTACATCAGTGGCTCTGGCTTCAGCCCCCGTCCCAAAAATTGCAGAATGACTGCTCTTTGACACCACTTCAACCGCCATGGCTTGATGCTTTTTGGAACAATGAGATTGGACTGGATGGACCATGAGGTCTCTTCCAACTCTATGATTCTATGTTTCAGCGTGAAGCCAAAGACAGGGTTCACTCTAGACATTGTGTAATCTGATTTTTTCTTATCTAAAATGAGAGACCATCCAGTCCAACCCCCTCTCCAGCTATTACAAAGGTAACCACCTGAAGCCTAACCCTGCCAAGACACAAGTGTATGCTTTCCACCTACAAAACCATGAAGCCAACAGGAAAATTGAAAGTTACCTGGAAAGGTCAAGAGCTTGAACATTGTTTCCAACCTCAATATCTTGGTGTCACCTTAGATCAGTGGTTCTCAACCTGGGGTCCCTAGATGTTTTTGGCCTACAATTTCCAGAAATCCTAACAGCTGGTAAACTGGCTGGGATTTCTGGGAGTTGTAGGCCAAAAACATCTGGGGACCCAAGGTTGAGAAGCACTGCCTTAGATGGAACACTAACATAGGAAACACTGCATGAACACCAATCACAAAGTTTGTTGTTTATTTGTTCAGTCACTTCTGACTCTTCGTGACCTCCTGGACCAGCCCATGCCAGAGCTCTTTATCTGCCGTCACCACCCTCAGCTCCTTCAGAGTCAAGCCAGTCACTACAAGGATACCTCCATCCACCTTGCCCTTGGTCGACCCCTCTTCCTTTTTCCTTCCATTTTTCCCAGCATCATCCTCTTCTCCAAGCTTTCCTGTCTTCTCATGATGTGGTCAAAGTCCTTCATCTTAAAAACAAATTTATTTTATTTTTATTTGCAGCATTTTTACCCCACCCTTCTCCACCCCTGGAGTGGGACTCAGAGCTGCACGCAATAATATCCTCTTCTGTCATGCACTGGGCCTGTCATGATTCTCTTTTGAATAGGACGTGCACTTTGTGCCCAGCGGGAAGCCAGGGCGCCTCAAAAGAGGCCCTCAAGGATTTTCCTGTAGAAATGGTCTTTAGAGTCTTTAATGATTTATCAAAGTCCTTTATTATTGAACAAATTAAACAGATACTTCTCAAATCTTCATTGAGTCCTTAATCTTGTCCACAAGGGACAGGCAACTGTCTTCGTTAATTGTTCTTTCACTTTAAGAGGAAAACCCTTTTTTAACCTCTCCCAGGCTGTCTACTATCTAAGCTTTACTGATGTGGGTTCTACTACCGGATTCAAACTGCGTCTTGAGCACCGAGTAGACCTACAAGTAAAGGCTTGTAGATTCTCCAGCTGGAGTTCTTTGGGTCTGTAAGGCTGCTTTCCCTCTGGAATTTCTTAAGAAACCTTTTTGGAGCTGTTTCCCTCAGATGCTGTAAGGCTGAGAGGCTGTGAGCTCCCTGCCAGAGCTTTTGGGACTGTTTTCCCTCGGATCTCCTGTTTCTGTTTCCCTGGAATTCTTAAGAAGTGAAG